ATTTACTCCTAAGAAACACACCAAGGTTGTGTTTGTGGTCCACAATTCCTCCATCCTCCCCAAATTGGCCCTTTTTTCTGGCTCAAAAGTGAATTTAATAGCCTTTTTTGGGGAAGTCTTAAGGAACATCAATGCGCCTTTTAAATAAATTGCAGGACCACAGTTTTTCCAAACCTGACTTAATTTCCAGAGTTGTGCAAAGATCTGTGTTGTATGAAAATGTCACCAATCCCATTTTTTGCCCATAAATGAACACACAATCCTCACAACTGCTCTTTACACAAGTGTATTTGGAATAGACTATGTACATATTGCTTTTCTTTTTTACATTTTCCCTCCTGACAAAAAACAACTGCATTTAAACATTTTTCCCCACAAAAAAAATAATCTCTGAGCATCAATAACCAAAGGCCCTGGTTCCTTTCCCGAAATTACAAAAATACTTAGAAAATCGGTTCTTCTCTGTAATACTGTGCAGAAAATGACTACAGTTCCCTGCAATTCTTGTTTTTTTTATTTCATTTAAAAAATGTTTTGCTGTAAAAGGCATGGTTTTGCGGGTTCGAAATGAGCTTCTGATGCTTTAATTAATGTGCTCAGAAAATAATTCAGAATAAGTGCAATTTGATTTCTAAGCTTTTTTAAAAAAAATATTGCAAATACAGATTGTTGTGGGAGAGGGATTCCACTTGTTTGGAAAGAGCGTGTAAAGGAATAGTAGCAAGATCTGGGCATGCAAGAGGATTGCTTGTTTCAAGAATTGCAAAAATCAAGGTATCCCCGCAGCTGGAAATCTAGCTGGTGAGCATGGCATGCTTTAATGCACCTTTCATGATATTATGCAAGCTTTCCATGCGCAAGTCAGTGTTTTGGTGAGAAACATGAAACATTTCAGATGTTATTGGACTGCAACTCCCAGCATTCCTTCCCATTGATGGGCTGGCTAGGGATGATGGGAGTAGCGGTCCAAAAATGGCTGCATGGCTGCATGATTGCCCATGATCAGAGGCCATAAATAAATGATCAATTGATTGATTGGTTTCCCATGATTAAGGGGTTCCCCCCCCTTTAAAGCAACCTCTCAAACCCAATGTGCCAAATCTGGGGGGAAGGAATAACCTTATGGACTGCAAGTCCCAGAATCCCTTGGTCATACCTATGTGTTAAGGGATGATGGGAGTTGCGTTCCAACATCTGCACAGCTGCATGATTTCCCATGCATTTCCCCCCTTTAAAAGTAACCCCTCAAATCCAAACAACCTTATAGACAATAACTCCCAGAATCCCATAGCCATACTGATGTGCTGGCTATGGATGATGGGAGCAGCAGTGATTTTCCATGATTAAGGGAGTTTTCCATGATCAAAAGCGACCTCTCAAACCCAACGTGCCAAATCTTCAAGGGAAAAATAACCTTGTGGACTATAACTCCCAGAATCCCTTACCCATACTGATGTGCTGGTTAGGGATGATGGGAGTAGCAGTCCAATAACAGCTGCACGATTTCCCATTATTAAAGCCCCTCCTGTTAAAAGGAACCCCTCAAATCCAATGTGTCAAATCTTGAGGAGGGCGGAATAACCTTATGGACGATAACTTCCAGAATCCCCTAGCCATAGTAGTTGGGGATGCTGGGGGTTGGAGTCCAGGGCTTGAATCCTATTTTTAACCCCAACTGCTGTAGATCCAAGGAATTTGTTTGTGTGTTGCTTCATTATTCGGCAATGTATTGAATGGCTGGGACGGACGAACCTGATGGAATTGGGGTTCCCAAAGTTACTTTTTTCAAGCTCTAATAAGGGCTATACTTATGGGGGATACAAATAAGTATAATAATACTAATAAAATACTCAGTGCCTCACCCAAGATAGTGTGTGCAGTTGCACAACTCAAGAGCAACATGTCCCAGCATCCTCTGGAATATAATGAGAAAAATTGGGATTTCACCGTAATTTTTCCTCCCAGTATCTCTAAGATAAAATCACCCTCCATCCCAGTTTCAACTGGGAATTCATATGCATCACGTGCCCAGTTTTAGCTCTTTCAAAACCTGGGAATCGACTCTTTGTCCCTTCTTCCCTGGAAGTCTGCAAAATGCAAGCGTTTTTTGTTTCCAAACCCGACAAAAACGACCCGACTCTCTTTGAGAGCCGGTGGTCCGGAAGCCCTTCTCAGCAAATCCTGACTCATTAAATGCATTAAAAAATCCCTGCAGAGCCATCATGGCAAAGCCTTGGATAGCAGCAAAGCAACGGAGGAAGAGGCCAGATTTAGTCCCTTGGCGGAGCCCTCTTTTCGGGAAATCTTGCAAGCTTCAAAACCTTTCCAGATCCGGCCATTTTATTTGTCCCATTCATTGTGCTCCTGACTTGCAGATCTCAGCATTGCTTTCGCGTTTTGCAAATCTGAAATTAGAAGAGAATCAGAGAGAAAATGGAGCATTACAAAGGAAATAGCTATTATCCCTTAGGCTTGCATATTTTGCAGTCCGAACAAATTTTCCTTGAAGCTGAGCAATCAATTTGTTGTTCTTTCTCTCTTTTGAAAGCATGCCATCTCCTGCGTTTGCTAATTCTATATAAGGATGCAATAATATTATGCTTTGTGGAATATTGGTGCCATTAAAACCTATATAATAAAAATACTATATAAGAAACATAAACACACACAGGCCTGTATACGATATTATAGAAATATCTGCAATACCTGTATATAACTATTAATAAATATAAACACAGGCATGCATACAATACTATACAAATATCTACAACACACACAGACAAACATATATAACATAACAAAAATAAACACAGACAGGCATGCATACAATATTCAATATTATAGAAATGTCTGCAACACTTGTATATAACTATTAACAAATATAAACACAGGCATGTATACAATACCATACAAATACCAGCAACGCAAACACACACATATGTAACTATAACAAATATAACTCATACAGGCATGTATAGAATATTATATAAATATCTGCAACACACACACACATATATATATACGGTATATAATTATAGCAAATATAAACACACACAGGCATGTGTACAATACTATACAAATATCTACAACGCAGAAAGACAAACATATATAACAACAAATATAAACACACACAGGCATGCATACGATACTATAAAATATCTGCAACACATATATATAACAAATATAAACACAGGCATGTATAAAATACTATACAAATATCTACAACACACAGAGACAAACATATAACTATAATAAATACAAACACACACAGGCATGTATACAATACTATAAAATATCTGCAACACACATATATAACTATAACAAATATAAACACAGGCATGTATAAAATACTATACAAATATTTACAACACACACAAACAAACATATATAACATAACAAATATAAACA